CTGGCGGTAGCGCCGGGTAGGCTGTAGTAGCCGAAGCAGCAGCACTACCCATAGGCCCCATAGTAGTTCCTTTCTGCGATTACCTTATAGAATTCTTACTTTGGGGCCTTCGGGTAGTGATTTTCCCACCGATCTCAAGCTTATCGTTGGTCGCTCATCGCCGGCAAGAAACCACGGCGCAAGATAAGCAGGAACCTTCCGTGCATTGGATCCTTTTTGGGGATAATGTGGAGGGTGTTAGGGCTCAGGGTTTAGAGCCAGACCTGGAACGGCAAACCCCAAGACGACCGAAGTGCTCACCTAAAATAGTGACTATTGACCTATATACATGTACACACACATATATAGATATATATGTGTTGTTGTTTTTTGTTTGGGGGGGTGAATGTTATTAGAGTACAATGGGCCCCTAAACTCTATTCTAGTTTTGAAGGCCACCATATTAGCTTCAGGGGTTTACGGCTGTAGGGCTAGCGTTCAGACGTTTCGAGGGTTTTAGGCTTCAGGAGCTTAGGGTTGAGTTTTGGGGGTTCATGGCCTTAGCAGCTTGAGGTTTCGGGGTTAGGGGGTAGGGGTTAGAGTTTTTAGGGTTTAGGGCTTAGGGTTTGGGGTTCTGAACTTAGTTCTGGTTGACTAATCCCCTAGATTCTTGATGAAACCTCGGGGCTCGATGAAGCTGAAGAAGTCAATAGCGTCATTCGATGAATTAAGGGGAGAATGTTTGCATACTCCAACTTGCTTTAGGAAGGAATATGTAGAATGGGGTTTACTCCGTGTGTAAGGAGGAACCCCAAGGAATCGTGTAGCTAAGTATTGACACCTCTAGGCCGAATATTAGTATACGGATACTGGGGTGCCTCGGCATGCTTTGGCTGCAGGTGCAAAAGATGCGCAAGGAGCCGTTTGGGCTGTTGGGGTTTAGGGTTTGGTATTTTGGGGCTTTTGGGGTTTACATAGGAGTTTATGGTAGTATGGGATTTGGGTTTAAGGCTTTGGATGTGGGTTCTCGGTTTAGGTTTAGGGGCGTCGCGTGTGCAGGACACGAAGCTGAACCAAGACGATCCGGTGGACATGTGGGCAGAGGTGCGTTGATTCAAGGTATCTGATGTTCGAAATCTTTATTCTAGAATATCATATCATGATATCCCCTCATCGTCCCCGTACATACACTAAACTTACTTACCTCATTCTGGCTATCTATATTGGGCTTGTGTATTTGTTTGTTTCAGGCCCTCTCAACAGTGGAGATGCCATCAAGTAGACTCGGGCCAAGTAGTCGGAACCGCGGTCGAGGCAGAAGTAGCAATGGTAAAAGTAGTAGAAGGGTAAAGCGTTCTTAGAAGTCGGTGAAGATTGAACTACTCTCAATACTAAGAGTCGCGAGGGTCTCCAGTGCTCAAACGGGTTGGAGCATGTCAAGGCGGTGTTTGGATTTCTTCTTGATGCAGAAATTTGAGCCAGTGGCGAGAATTCATTTGTCCCCAGAATGCACTGAAATATGCCCCGACCTGCTATGGAAACCTCCTAGATTGTGTGGACGCCTTATCAACCTCTATGGAAAGCTCCTAAACCTAAAATTAAGGTCTATGGAGCCTTATCAAACCGACCCAAAGGCCCCAATCCGAAGCATTAAAAGCCCAAACCCCTTAAACCCCTAAGCCCTAAGCCTCTAACCCCCGTTCACCACTAATCTAACACTACTCGACTGTTTCAGGCTTCTCTCGTTGAGGTCGGGGCTCGCAGGGTCAGCTCAGGAGTAGCTTGGGTTTGGGGTTTAACATCGGGGCGTTTCTACAATTCTTTAAGGCCCTTAAGGGCGCTATATTCGTTTTAAGGGGTCCATAACAGTAAGTTATTACAATAGAATCCTTAAAACTGATTTAAAAACTGAAAGTTCTTAAGCAGAGGCTTCTGTTGTGTGCGCCTTGGCAGTTCGAAGAGGGTTTGGGGGAGATTACAGCAGAACCATATGCAGGAAGCCTCAGGGATAACATAGTAGAAGCCCAAAAGGTAGCCTCAATCCTGAAGAGTCATGTATAGGGAATCCCAGCACTGGTTGGCCTTCATCCGTTTACCAACTTTATGGGGTTTACTGTATTCCCAATGGGTCCAGGTAACAGTATACTAGTACATAACTTTGGGGCCCAGATACCTCCTAAGAGCATACTATAATGGCAGATGGAACCTATAGTATCTACCTAGCGGCATTAATAATTGGACTAGGGTTTTGGGGTATATCATCATGCCGTACTTTTACAACGAGCCCTAAGGCATAGCTCCGACCTCACCATTCGGGTCCAGGAATGCTTGTGGACATGTGGTTCAGGGTTTAGAGGGTTTACTGAGGTCAGGTCCAGGGTTTACGTTTAGGGTCTGGCGCGCAAGACATGGTTATGTGATGCCTTGAAGACATGAGAACGCAACACCTATCGTAAACCCTGATCCCTGTTCGCGGCGCCTTGGCTTCAAGACAGAAGTCCGAGTCCTGAAGCTCATACCATTATGGCAACCCTTTGCATAGGTTTTCTGGTTCAGGGTTTATAGTTAAAGCAACCCCTATATGCTAGGGGGAGTTTCGCCCCGTTGTCAGCGTTCAGGCTTCTGGGACATTTAGGAGTTTACAGAAAACAGGAAGCTCCAGACCTCCAGACCCTCGATAGTAGGATCCTTTGACAACGAAGCCTGAAGAGGGGATCCTGCCGATGGCCCAGGTTCAGGTTCTATGCAGCGGACTTCTGTTACAAACACCCCTAAGAGAGGGACCCCCTAGAAAAGAAGGGGTTTAGGGTTTGGGGTTTAGGGTTTTAGGGTTTAGGGCTTTAGGATTTAGGGTTTATATAGGCCCCCCTGTTTTCAACAATGCCATGGCTCACCTGTGGCAACCAAGCGGATCCGACTCCTTTGGAGGAGTACGCAGGAGGTTTCTAGGGAGGGAGCCTCCACAAGTTGAAACGTGTCCTACTGTTGATGGACGAAATCCTGCATGACCCTAAGGACTCTAAACTATGGGAACTATGGTATATCCCTTATTAAATGGGTAATGCAGGATTGATATCATCAACCGTACCTATAGTCTCCATTGTGCTTCCATGACTATGGTTAAACCAAAATATGGAACCACAACGGAGACCATAGATAAACCCTAAATCCCTAAATTCCTAAGGCCAAATCCCGAAGCCTTCAATCCGAAACGAAAGACCCTAAACTGCAAGGGTCCACTCTAAGACACCGAACCCAAAGCCCCTGAGGCCCAATACCCCTTGACCCTAAACCCCTAATCTCGAAACTCCTATAGAACTCGAAAGAACCCTTGTAATAGAACTCTGTGGATCCCTTAAAAGAACCCCAAACACACTAAACCCTAAAATCACCAGACCCCCACCCCCCAAAACCCCTAAACCCCCTTATGGAACCCTTATAACTAGACTCCTTTAAAGAACCCTTTAAGGACCCCTTTATAGATTCCTTTAACCCCTTAGGTTTGCAGCGGAGCTCGCCTCCGCAAACGGAGCCCTCCTTGGAGCCAAGGTTTCCGATGTGCCTTGGCTTTGGTCAAAGGGGAAAAGGAGGGACCCTTAATGGGGACCCCTACCCTATAATGGGCTATATCATGGGTATATAATAGCTATATTAAGGGTATATACGTCCTTATTAAGGGTCCCTCCTTTTACCCTTGGACTTGGGTATTTCGGGCATGTTGGGGTCTAGGGATTGGGGTTTTAGGGGTTTAGGGTGTTAGGGGTTTTTAGGGTTTAGGGTTTATTATGTAGAAACCTGATCAAGAAACCTTGGGCCTTTGTTAGGGTTCCTTATATGAATCCTACCATTTTGCTGGGGTTATTGGCCCATGCTTTGTTAAGCGGGTTCCTACATTAGGGCATGTTGGGGTTCAGGGTTTAGGGTATTAGGGTATTTCGGGGTTCAGGGTTTGGGGTTTAGGGTTTAGGCGTTTAGAGGGTTTAGGGTTTGGGGGTTTCAGGTTTAGGGTTTGGTGGTTTTGGGTTTAGCGTTTTTAGGTTTTAGGGTTTGGGTTTGGGTTCCTTTTCAGGGTTCCTTTAAGGGATCTATAGGGTTCTGTAGGGTTTCATAAAGGGTTCTGGTTTAAGGTAATTTGGGGCCATTTGGGGTAATTAGGGTGTTTCGGGTTTAAGGCTTAGGCGTTTAAAGGCTTTTCTCTCACCAAATCCCTTACGCCGACTCCCCGCCTCCCACTCCCTCGTAATCCCGGGTCGAGGGTTTATACCCCAAACCCCTACACCCCTAAACCCGAAAGGCTTTCGCACACACACGACCTGAGGCGAACACCCGAGCACTTCCTGAAGCCCTTGACCGTAAAGGGCTACACCATGGCAACAAGTGAGTGGGGACTCTCCCAAAAAGCAGATCATAACAAGGGGCTAGTGTTGACGCATGTATGTTTATGTGATTTATGTGCTTCTTCTCGTTTCTATCTCAAACCACAACGGTCCCGAAACGCTACGACTGCACACCTTCAAACCCACGGAATCCCTAATCCCTAAACCTTTTTCGCTGACCCAAACCCTTGAACTCCAAATCAGTAGCTCTCTACAGTAGGGTCGCTTGTTGGGTCCCCAAAATAGTACGGCGGCCTTGTACAAAGGATCCCCTAAAGTGGCCCTAGTTTGGAGAACTACCCAAATCCTGCTCACCCAGACCCCCGGGAGGATCTAGAAAGTAGATCCCCTAATATTCGGCCCTATAGTACTAAGGCTGCTAAGGGTACTTTATAGGAACCCCCATTAAGGGGATCTACTTTTTGGACCCTCAACCCTAAACCCTAAACCCTAATTTAGAGAACTACCCAGATCCTACCTTAACCTACCAAAACCTATTTTCCCTATAACTTCCATATTAAGGTTTATAATAAGAACCTACGAAAAAGTAGGGTTTGGTAGGTTAAGGTACTCAGAGACAAACCCAGAGGGTCAAGAGAAGAGCTGAGGTTTGTCGTGCCAGTAGGCCAACTGCTGCGCATGGTGATGGTAAAGAGCCACGAGGAGTTACTCCGGGGCTTAGGGTTTAAGGTTGAGGGTTTACAGGGTTCAAGGTTGGATAGGTTGAGGGTTTAGGGTTTAAGGTTGGGTGTAAGGTTGAGGGTTTAGGGTTTAAGCTTCAGGGTGTAAGGTTTAGGGTTCAGGGTTTAAGGATCAATTAGGGTTTATGTTACTCGTAGAGAGCCGCGAGGAGTTGCTCCAGGAGGGAGCATTGGTGCAGTTCTCAAGGGCCGCTCGGCGTCAGATGCGAAATCCGATCCTAATCCCGAAGCCCTGGCTTTCCTTCGGTTTTGTTTTGGGCTTAGGGTTTAGGGTTTAGGCACTTTTGGGCAAGGCAACTTTTTTTCCCACCTTCCTATATGCATGACTTTGCAAGGGATTCTTGAATGTTTTCATGGCGCTTATAAGGCTGAGGGCATGGTCTGTTTTTGTTTGTGGAGGCTGCTAGTCATGTATAGTTGATTCAGGAATAATGCAGTGGGCCGTTAAGCTACGACCCAGGACAAAGGAAACGCGATCTTTGTGTCGCACGAGTGGGTGAGCACCGATCATCCAGATCCTGACGGGGAGCAGCTGAAGGTCTTAAAAGCTGCACTCATGCGAATGCTCAGTGAGCCGGACAGCATTCCGGTGTCTGTTCAGGCTGAGTTCATGTATGGACTGCAAAATGGGCTTCTCATGACCGAGATGAGAGCAAGGCCGCTTTTCGTTTGGTACGATTTCTTCTCTTGCCCGCAAAGAATGCACGGGCCAATTGGCAGTCGCTTCACTCATCCGAGTGAGCAGGAATTGGCTATCCACAGCATCCCGGCATACGTTGAGATGTGCCGCTGCGTTGTCATTCTTTGTCCACCGATCCTCCACAAGCAAGCCCAGGACGGAGTTCAGCAAAACAACGAGTAAAGATCCTGGTAACCTACACGCCAATCCCTACACTCCAGGCCCCAAACCTCAGACACTCACAGGAGCTGCTCAACAAAAGCAGCTGGTCAACGCGAGGATGGTGTCGACTAGCGCCCAGGTCAGACATGGAAGTTATATAGAGCTTTGTGGTTTTAAGGTTATGGAGTTCTGCAAGCGTCTTACATTTATTTGAAGGTCTATTGGGGATCTAGAAGTGCTCGGTGTAGACGATTCTGCAACTGCTGTCGGGTGTGGTCAACCCGGGCTCTTTCCAAAACTGCCCTGAATCCCGAAACCCAAAACTTATGAAGCCCTCAAGAAACACTAGTCAGCCCCTGAAAAGAACACCGAAAAGCGGCGCCCAGGAGAGGTTGGCGGTCCATCTTAGCACCATCCACTCTGCATCGCTAGTGGAAGTCCAGTGTGCCTGGGTTATGCAGCAGTACCCTTTTGGCCTTTTTGTTTGTGGACTCCGTTCCTCAAACCTGCATAGTAGGAAACAAGAAGGGAGCCCCAAACCCTTAAAGGGGGCCTGCTGGGGACCCAGGTGCAGAGCAGCAGAATCTCACTGTCCCATTCGAGTTTCTTCGAGAGCCGGTCGCTTGGTTCTCGTTTGAAGAACTGAAGTCATCTAACGAGAATGAAAACATATGAAGAAGAGCAACAAGAAGGTCAATGATAGTAGTAATAGTACTAGCAGCAATGATAGCGACAACCATCATTACAACCAGAGGTTCTAGCAATAAGGACAGGTCGTACGTATCAGTGTGGTTTCCTGATGATGGCAACTTCACTACCGTAAGGATGTACAACAAATACTGCACATTGCTGTTTGGTGGCAAACGTATCTTAGCAAGAGGCTTAAACCCTAAACGGCTTCAAAGGTTGGTTTGGGCAAGTTCACGATCGCGGCGGACCGTGAGAAGGTTGCAGAGGTCGTTCACAGTATGGTGCGCCAGAAGCTGCTGCACTACCTGAGGCAAGGAGCGCGTAAGTGCTTTTTTTCAGCGAATCTGGAGAGAGTAAGCCCTAAGCTGAAACTCCTGCATAAATCACGCCCTGTAACGGGAATTTGCGGCATGCATAAGGATGCGACTGTTGGTGATATAGATCCTGCATTACCCAGAGTAAGGAATATGTAGTTCCTATAGTTTCGTACTGTAAAATCCATAAGACCCTATTATCGAACCCCTCATGGCTCCCTTTTAACGAGCCCTTCAAAGGACCCCCAGGATCTAGATCATGAGCCGTAGTAAAGGCTAGAAAGGAGCCCTTCCAGGGTTTGAAGCTTAGGGTTTAGGGTTAATGCTTCGCCGTATAAGTAAGTAGTCGTATTCTGAACTTGTGGTAAGATTTTCACCCCTTGAAAAAGAAAGCTTTGGTGAAGCAAGGCAAGGTGACCTTCACAACTACAGGGTCCTGCTGAATCTGCAGCACCTACATTTCAGAGGCTTCTCAGTGGAGTCTATCGACGACTGGGTTCCCGGCTTTGTTAGCACGGAGACGGATCCAAGCAGCTTCTTTCTACAGAAGTTTATGTACCTAGGCTCGCCCATAGCTGCCTTTTATTGTCGGGGGTGGGACGGGGTGGAGGGGGCCTCTCGATTCTGGAAAGAAGAATAAGATCCTTTCTGTTGGGGCGACTGGGAAGCTGAGGTATCAGCATGGATTTCGTAGCCCGGTGGAGCGGGACAAGGCTGGCTGGACGCCGCTGTGCTACGCTGCAGTCAGTGGCAACCCACTTCTCCTCGTTGCCTTGTTGGAGCAGCGCGCAAATCCCAACGACAGCATCCGGCATGCATCTCAACAACAGGTGGGAGTTCTTGTAAAGTACGTTTCCTTCAGCCTATAGACTATTGATATTCCGACTAGCACTCCATTGCTCTGCCATTTTTCGAAGACTTAGTTGAGCCACAACTAGCATTTCTACGTTCATCAGCATCACTATCAGGATCCTGATTCCTATTCGTTTGTATATGTTTAGTAATTATTGTCACTGAAAAGTATTTATACTAAGTCTGATTACCATGATGATTATGAGAAGTGTTCCTCTGCAGAAGTGATCATTACCATACTGTAACCGTGACCGTGTTTAATTTGTGTACTTTACCACTAGCCGCAGTCTGTCTAACAGTTTACTTTGGCAAGACATGGAACGTGTGGATTCAACCGCTCAGGTGCAAATGTCGGCTGGTGCTTCCGCGCTCATCATCAGCGTGTGTCTGAATCACCTTGATGCCATCCAGGTCTATTGGGATCTATTTGGGCTTCTATTTGGTAGCTCTACCCCTAAATCGGTTTAGGTTTAGGGAAGGCCGTCGTTTCTTCCCAGAAGTGGCACTCTTAGGCTTGAGTAGAACCACGAAGACCACCAAAATTAGGTTTTTCATGAACAAGATCATAAAAGTCATGATGGAGACCCCACAGGTCTTACTGGAGCACCGGGCCAACCCAAACCAGGGCGATGCCACTGGCACGACAGCCGTGCACTACTCGTGCTCCTGTGCAAATGCAGATGCCCTGCGACTGCTCAATGCAGCCGGCGGATCCACAGTGTTGCAGAACGCATTCAAGATCACGCCTAGCATGCTGATGGGTGGCGTGGGGAATAACAATGCTGAGCTTCAAGTCCGGCTTATTGAGGAGCTCTCTTGCCGAGGTCTCCCCCTCGCAGAGGTCAACGCTGCACTCCACCTCTGCATCCTCTTCGGCGGAGCTTCTGGAACTGTGGTGGTCACGCTGTTGGAGGCAGGAGCTGACATCAATGGGCCCACCTGCTTACCCAAGTCGGCAATATTCCAGACGCTGATGGCCTACATGAGCTTTCGACACCCCTGGCGTCAGACCGCCTTCAGCAGATATGCGTACCACAGGCGAGGAGCCACGCCGCTTATGTGCAGCATCATCTGCGGTGCCTACGAGGCAAACCATAGCTCAAACTGCCATATCATCGCCTACTTTTTTGCAGGTGCGTTTTAGCACCCGTATACATATAGTTTTTGGGGGACCTATTCATTTTGGTACCTCGAGGTCGTCCAGAGAACCCTAATTAGGCCTGGCAGGCCCTAGAGCTGGAAATTCCATTTCGGAACCGTCCTCAGGCTCAAGAATTCGAAGGAGGTTCAGCGAAGTTGATGTGTTGACATGAGCAGAACGTGGCTTTCAACCAGAAATCCCCAACCCCAACAACACGCGGTCATAGTTGTATCACAGCTCGTATGAGCTCCTGTGCTGTTGCACAAGACCTTCTCTAAAAGCAGGATCTGTTAGGCGCTTTAGCACTCCACGACCATATCGGTAGATGCGTGACATACCTTTGGCCAAATGCCCGAACCCCCCCCCCCCCCCCCAATTCCCCAAACTTTGAGCCCTCGCCTCCCTAAACAAACTTCACCCGGAAGCACCGTGACCGACATCCGAGAAACCTCAGCCCAACAGATCGACAGTCCCAAGCCCTGAGTTGCAGAAGCTCCACCTAAACATTAATGAGGCCTAAATAACTACCCATACTATTTTGGGGGTTCCTTAAGGTATAATTATAGTATAATGGGCCCCAGAACCCGATTCGAATTACTTAAGGCCCCTATATTATGGTATATACCCTTATAGATCCCTTATAGTAACCCCTATAGTTCCCTTTTAAAGGAACCCAATTCTAATTACAAAGGCCCCCCCATGAGGCGGCCGCAGTGCTCATCGCATCGGGCGCCCGCCTGGAGCTTCGCAACGGCCGTGGTTGTTCCGCCAAGGAGCTCGCCGAAGAGATGTCCGCGCCTAGTTCACGCACAGCAGATCGTCACCGGAACCACCCTAAGCATGTAGTTAATGACGATTCCTTCATGATTTGTATTCGGGGCAAGTAACGCAGAGCATCAAAGTCTCTGAAATGGGCATCTGGACCTGCATTGCGCATCCCCCCCCAAAGCAGGAACTGAAAAAGTGAACTGACACCATCCCGGAAGTGGAATGACGTTGGGAACCCATGAATGCTCCTGCCACCGTGCCCAGCCCTGCTGGCGAGACAGACAGTGGAACGCAGAACGAAGTGTACTAAATTAGACAGCAAAAGACCAAGATTGATGACAGCACACTCACACTAATAAGAGCATGAATCATTATGACAATCAATGACAAGGAACCACATTTGAGCTGGCAGGCGGCTTTAGTGAGTGTGGCTCCAGCCTGCCTTGATGGCCTCATCTCTGTTCGTCCATGCCTCTGTGTGTACACCCGGTGTGTTTGTTGTTTGTATGTACGAAGTCATGATAGGAATTTGCTTCGTGCATTGTGGATGGCTGATGTGTGATCATTTCTGCATCTTTCCTTCTCGAACTACCCATAGTCTTGCCCTAAACCCCAAAGGTTCCATCATGAAGGGGGGGTGGGGCTTAGGGTGTAGGGTAGGTCTTACTAACGTGCTTTTTCTGTTTTTTTGGTCCGGTCCCAACAGACAAGGTGCCTGACTTCATCACTGCCGCCCTCAAGGGCTCAACTGCACAATGCGAACTGCTGGTTCAAAGCCATCTCAGAATGACTTCTGAGACTTTTTAGACCTAGGTTCAATGCGAGATTTTATTGAGGAAGGACTCCATGGTTTGTATATGAGTCCCGAACAGGAATCCGGTCATGTCTGTCGATTGAGACTAGGACATCAAACCCCCTCTTAAAGGCTACTAGAAGGGCCTAAATAATAACCAATACTATTTGGGGGGTTCATTATATAAATATATATATATACATAGTATATTATACCCAGAAAACCCTATTCTTATTATCAAGGCCCCTACATTAGACGAGCCGTGAACGTTTCTGAGGCCTCGTAGCAATCTCCGCTGGAGGCGGAGACGAATGGTCTCGGGGGATGTTGTGGTTCAGGGCTTATATCGATTATAAGGGTGTTCCTAGACCCTAAACCCTAAACCGTGCAGGGTTGAGAAGGACTACAAGGGCGTTCCTGGTGTGTATTCTGGAGTTCAAGGTTATAGACTCATCGGGATTGCGATTTTGTCGCAATTGGACTGCTGTAGTGTTCGCTGCTCGCTGCAAACTACTCCTCCGCCCTTTTCGGAGTCGAGTTTTGGACAATCACGGGGCTGGCCACAGCCTGGTCAAGTCAGACCACCTAGCTCCAGCAATTCAACTCAGATCACGGTATTACAAAGTTTTGCAAAGCACTTTTCCTTTGCAGGGGTGGCGGATTTGGAATGCTGCTTAGGATGAGCATGTCATCTATAAACCCTAAACCCTAAACACTAAAACCTATACTACCATCGAAGCACTGAGACAAAAGCCTGCCACCGACCTGCTTCTGCTCAGTGCTTGTTTTTGCGGTCCGTGACTGACACGGTTGATGATATAAATCCTGCACTACCTTAAGGACCCCGAAACTATGGGAATTATGGTATATTCCTTATTATAATGGGTAATGCAGGATTTTGTCCATCAGCATTATGGGCACACCCTTCGCACCTCCAAATCGGAGTGGGTGAGCTTAATCAAAAGGCCCTCTATCGAGCGGAAGCCCTGCTGGCAGGCAATGATTACGACGGATCAGCACTGGCTCATACGGGGAGCCGTTTTGTTCTGCCAAGCAATGTCTCACCACTGCCAATTAATATAGGGGCTTGAATAATTCCAATTACTGATAATTAGTGACTACTTAACCCTAAACCCTAAACCCTAAACCCTAAACACCCTATACCCTAAACCCTAAATGGGGGTCCTTGATTACACTTGTTCATCAAGGCCCCATAGATCGCCCCAATTATTCTCCGTCTCTCGCAGCTCTGACATGGGTCACTCACAGGAAAAAAACAGACCTTGGGATCACTGGTTTAGGGGGTGCCTTAGGGTTTGTGCCGCAGGGTTTAGGGTTTTAGGGTTTCGGCTGTGGAGGTGAACAGGGTTAGGCTGTTAGGCTTGCCTTCTGAAGATTCAAGCTGTTGCTTTTGGTGCGGTTTCGGGCTCAGGGTAGCCGTGCATGTTTTCTCAAGCTGTGCCTTCGACCTGACATCAGAACTTCCGCCTGGACCCCCGAAGTATGTAGAATAACATAGCCTTTTGTAGGTTTTGGGCCATTCTGTTATACAGTAAAAGCCAGAAAGTTGGAATATGATTATCCTAAGCCCTTTATGGTACATTATAGGGTATCCTAACCTGAAACCATATTCCAACTTTCTGGACTTCCCTTTAAACCCCTATAAACCCTCTGTAGAACCCTTATAGATCCCTTTAAAGGAACCCTTATAGATCCCTTTAAAGGAACCCTTATAGACCCCTTTAAAGGAACCCTTATAGATCCCTTTAAAGGAACCCTTATAGATCCCTTTAAAGGAACCCTTATAGACCCCTTTAAAGGAACCACAGTTCCCCATATTGCCATATTTGAGGGTCTAGGTAGCAGTCTCGGGCTCGAAGTGCCATCAGCCCTCGTGGACAGCTTTTAGCCCGACAAGAAGCCCTTTGAAGGGTTTAGGGTTTAGGGTTTTTAGGGTTTAGGGTTTCGGGTTTAGGGTTTGAAGGGTTTAGGGTTTGAAGGGTTTAGGGTTTAGGGTTTAGGGTTTATAGGGTTTAGGGTTTAGGGTTTAGGGTTTAGGGTTTATAGGGTTTAGGGTTTATAGGGTTTATAGGGTTTATAGGGTTTAGGGTTTATAGGGTTTATAGGGTTTATAGGGTTTATAGGGTTTATAGGGTTTATAGGGTTTATAGGGTTTATAGGGTTTATAGGGTTTAGGGTGGAGTCTTCAGCGTCCGGGGCGATTTCAAGCTTCAAGTCTCTTGATGTTTCCTGGGTTTTGAGTGCAGTGGATCCTTCATGCCCTGCTCGCGGAAGCTGATGCGCATCTATTGGACTTTCTTACGGAGTTTCGCTTGCGAAGATGATGAAGGGCCCCTCAACTCAACCCTGAAAGCTAAACCCCTAGAAACTGAACCCAAAAACCGAAGCGCCGCAAACCTGAGTAACCTGAATCCCTAAACCAGTACATGTTAAACCCTACCTTAAGCCGGAATAACCTACCTTTTAGGGTCCCTTGTTATGATTTCCTTATATAAACCTTTAAAAAGGTAGGTTATTCCGGCTTAAGGTAAGCCCTCAAACAATCGAACCCTTGGTCTGCATAACCTAGGAAGCTCGGAGCCCTACACCCCGTAAGCCCGAAGCCCTGACGCTTTAGGGTTTGAGGTTTAGGATTTACGGGGTTTTAAGGGTTTTATCGCGTAGGGTTTTGGGGTTTAGGGTTTGAGGTCTAGGATTTAAGGGGTTTTACGGCTTGGGGTTGGGGTTTAGGGTTTGAGGGTCCTCCGATACTCTCCGAAATCCCTAAACCTTAAACCCCAAAGCCCAAAACCCTAAACCCTAAACTCCCGAAGCTGTCAGGTAAAGCCGGGTAAGAAAAGCAAAGGCTTGCTGGGAAAGGCACTGAAGCATCTCGGCTCCTCTTTTAGGGTTCGTTTAAAAGTTCTGTTGAGGGTCCTATCATATGGAGGTGAGGAGTTTTGGGTTGATGGGTGGGGATTATATCATTTTGTGCATGTTACAGTTGTGCTTTTCTGTGATGCTTCATAGGCTTTTCCTAGCCTTCTTTCTCCTGGTAGGGTTTGGGGTTCAGGATTTGCAGTGTAGCTCTGAGTGGTGTGTGCTTAGAGTTTTGGGTGCGTACTGCTAGCATAGTAGGTGCGGATCGAAGCCTTGCTTGCGAACCCGTCCGTGTCAAGTGTGGGTGGAGAGGCTCAAGGACCCTAAACCCTACACCCTAAACCTTGAACCCATGGGCTTTGGAGCTCGTGCGACAGAAAGGGCCATTGAAAAAAAACAAAACCTGAACCCTCAGTGGTTCAGAGGAGTCATGACTCCCTCTAAACCCTCAACCGGCCTTATAACGAGTAGAGGCGTAGACCAGAGTCTGACGTAACTACCCTGCTGGAGCCCAAAGTTGCTCTGGCTCTTTAGGGTTTAGTATAGAGGGCCTCAATAGTTACCAAATATTATTGTTAGGGTCCCTTATTAGGGTCCCTTATTATAGTTATTATAGTATATTCGGCCCAAAACCCTATTTTAATTACGGCCCCTATATTAGGGTTTGGGGGTGCTCTTTCCCTCAGACGGATGTGGGTCCTCCAAATCCGCGAAGATCGAGGCAGCAGTCTCATTCGAGAGGTCTTCTCTTTCGATCCCTCCAAGCCCAAAAGACCTAAACTCCAGCAGCCTCGTCTTAGGTCTTAGGATTTCGGCACCTGAAGCAGAAGATCAACCCTGTTTATGTTTGCATTACCCCATGCCATAGCGGTAGCTTCTTCTCAGCCGCTTGAGCATACTGTACGGACCGGAATGAAAATTAATGCTGCCAAGCACAAATCTATGTTGAGATACGCCACCTCCCAAGCCCTATTCCACTAGCTAACTAAGGCCCCTAGGTTAGTTGATTTTCTTAGGCCTGATCTTGCTCCTTGACTTGAGGCAGAAGCGCGAATACATCCACAAGCTTCTCCGGAGGCAGCTCTTTGATCTAGCACGGGCGCATAAAAATGTACCGGACTAATCCTTAGGACTAATCCTTAGGGTTCCTTACACCTATTTGCTACAATCCAAGCGGTATACGCGGAAGTCTATTGTGACGAGCCCTCACAAGGTCTATAGGGATAGGTTTGCCGTTTACGGCTTAGGGCGTTTACTCGAAGTTTGGAGGTCTTGTGCCCGATGGCAGCCATCGAAGCCGCCGGGATCCTCATACTTTTCGGCTCAAGAAGTCTGAGCCCTTAACCTTAACCGCCTTAACCCCTATATAACCCACATAAAACCCTCGCGCGTTGAACCCCTGCTATAGTCCCCTCGGCCCTAAACCCTTTGTCCCAAAGCCTCAGCCCCATCACCTTGCCAGGGATCTGTGGGATTCGTCTGTGATGCAGGGCCATGAGGACGTGGCCTCGGACCCGTGAGTTCTGTGGTGGGTTTACTAAATTTGTGTGAGGAATGAGCAATCTGATACCTTACTGTAGGGTTCCTTATTATCGTAAACATATTATGCTACAGCCCAACAAAGCTCTTCTAAGTATTCAGGCCCGTACATTCAGGGGGTTCGGATAGTGGGGTGTGTGCCTGAGGTGTGAGTGGTCGGGGGCGCGGGTTTTGGCGTCTAGACGAACATCCCCCGAAACCCTGTGTCGACCGTAAGCCACAGGATGAAAGCTGTGAAGGATGTTCCAACCGCCCCCGAAGCACCTCAACCCCCAAGGTAGAATTAGGCTTCCCCAGGTGACCGGGATTGAGGGTTTTCATTGGAGCGCAAATACCCGAGAATAGTCGGAGTGTAGCCGGTCCTGCTGGGTCTCATTGGTGTTGCCGGTTTGTGAAACTTGCCTCCAGTGCGCATCCCTGATGATCTCAACGGCAAGACTGTTGGTGGGCAGCGGCCTTTGGCAGGCATCGTTGCTTCGTGATTGATTGGATAAAGAAGAGCCTCTTACGAAGGCTTGGCACACTCACTGGCGATTGGCAGGCCTATCGACTTCAGCTGCACAGATACGCGTTTGGTTCCAGGGACACAGCTGTC